GTCGTAGTTTCGGTGTGTGTTTGGCGGGTTGTTCTATTTTTATGTGGATTGCTTTTAGAATTTGTAATCTTCTTACATCTTGGGTTTTGTCTATTAAACAAGTTTTTGTATTCAACATTTCTCTTGTTAGGGTGATGTCATGAGCTTGTCTCATGTGTTTCCTAGGGGCACCCGATGGAAGATGACAGGTTAAACATTTTTAGGGACACCTGATTGAAGATAACAGGAAGATAACAGGTCAAACATTTTTAGGGGCACCTGATTGAAGATGACAGGTTAAACATTTTTAGGGACACCTGATTGAAGATAACAGGAAGATAACAGGTCAAACATTTTTAGGGGCACCTGATTGAAGATGACAGGTTAAACATTTTTAGGGACACCTGATTGAAGATAACAGGAAGATAACAGGTCAAACATTTTTAGGGGCACCTGATTGAAGATGACAGGTCAAACATTTTTAGGGACACCTGATTGAAGATAACATAAAGATAACAGGTCAAACATTTTTAGGGGCACCTGATTGAAGATGACAGGTTAAACATTTTTAGGGACACCTGATTGAAGATAACATAAAGATAACAGGTCAAACATTTTTAGGGGCACCTGATTGAAGATGACAGGTCAAACACCTCGTCAGCTCAATACGTCGACCAATCTGACGAGGCGTTTGAAGGAATATATTAGTACACCTAACTTGATTCTGGTGATGGTGACCAAGTTAGTCCACACCTCGTGTAACCAGCAACACCTACACTAGCCTCACACAGGATCACAAGTCTGTGATTGATGAGTTTCATGACAGAGTACATCTCCTTGTTTGAATAAATAAAAGGTTAGAGTTCAGTCATCAGCAAAAGCTTAGGATTTAGGCTTACTTTCATTCAGTCTGTTTCCCTCCCGCCCTTTATATCTCCCTTTCCCCCCCTCATCCTCCTCCATTACCTCTCTCTCTCTCTCTCTCTCTCTCTCTCTCTCTCTCTCTCTCTCTCTCTCTCTCTCTCTCTCAAGAAATCAAGTAATACTAACTGTAAATTAGATTTTCCTATTTACAGAGCGGTAGTGACACATTGTATATATATATATATATATATATATATATATATATATATATATATATATATATATATATATATATATATATATATATATATATATATATTAGTATATTTTGGTAGCAGTGTTTCCCGTAGACATATATTATTAAATATGACCGAAAAAGTAAGATTAATAATTCTAATTCGTGTTAGAAAAAAATTATTAATCTTACTTTTTCGGTCATATTTAATAATATATATATATATATATATATATATATATATATATATATATATATATATATATTATATATTATATATATATGTACTATATATATATATAGTACATATATATAGTATAGTATATATGACTCATTGTTGCATCACAGGTGTGTGATGCAGATATGCGATGCGATTAAAAAAATATATAACATAATTATTTAAAACTTATAATTTTATTAAACAGGCGAAATTCCCTGTCATGGAGGCATCAAAAAAAAAAAATTGAATTCATACACTTCGATGAAAATTGTGTTCGGCTCCTCGCATGCGACTTTTGGCCATATGACGCGGTCAGTAGATGTCAGATTGGCATGTTATGCCACGTAATTTTCTTTCCTTTTCGGAGCTCGATGAGCTTGGGAGATTTATTTAAAGCCCCTTGATGCGGTACTGGTTGGGCAGGGTGTATATATATATATATATATATATATATATATATATATATATATATATATATATATATATATATATATATATATATAAGCACGTCTGTTGAGAACATCTAGGTGAGTACACACACACACACACACACACACACACACACACACACACACACACACACACACACACACACACACACACACACACACACACACACACACACCACACTGACCATTACCAAACACCTGTGAACAGAGACCAGATTCTCAGCAGTTTACTGACCAACCAGATGCCCCTCATAGCACCCACTACATCATACAACTACGCTTGCAAGAATATATACATGGTTGAGGGGGGTAAAGGGGAAGGGGGTTGATCATATTCTTGAGGGGTGGCCCCGATGCCAATTTTAGGATTGCAAGGGGGAGTGTGTAGTGACAACTCAGTGTTGCTGTCTATTGTGGCCAGAGTATTGTGTGTGTGTGTTGTCATACTCCCACTAGTGGGAGTGTTTATTTGTATTGAATTCGCAACGAATGGACACAGTCTGTCAGTCGAAGTGCTGCTCCCGGGTGGAGAAATATAGCAGAAGCTGTGGTCTAAGATCCGGTGGATGACGACGTATCGTAACTGTAGGGACGGAAGATGTGGTGAAGGAAGTGGTGAAGGAAGTGGTGATGGAAGTGGTGAAGTTGTTAGAGTCGAGGTAATATTGTACCGGAGGATTAGACAACTAATATAACTGAACTTTGGAGGTTAGGGGGGTTGTAGGGTGAGATTGAGGGAGAGAGAGAAACTGGGATAAAGGAGGGAGGTAGAGGTAGATAGAGGGAGGAAGGGAAGCGATCAAACACCTATAAATTCTGTTCATACATCACTCTCCGTCAGCAAGGATCGAGCCTGCTGACGCGGGGCTGACACCTGATCAATATAAAAGCTTAAGTCAGCAGCACAAGGGAGGTATTACTAGGGATAGGCTCCCTCCATCCCTTCCATCCCTCCATCCCTCCATCCCCTCCATGCTCGGCCACTATAGCATACCCCAAGTGACCATAAGTGTTGCGTATACACCAACTTCTTATAGACTACTTATAGACTTCTTAGACTACAAGGTTTCATTCGGTTCGACCTTTTGAATGCTATAAATTTTAGAGTGTGGATAATATTTCTCACAGTTCATGTGTGTGTGTGTGTGTGTGTGTGTGTGTGTGTGTGTGTGTGTGTGTGTGTGTGTGTGTGTGTGTGTGTGTGTGTGTGTGTGTGTGTGTACTCACCTAATTGTGCTTGCGGGGGTTGAGCATCGGCCCTCTCGTGTAGGTTGAGCAACGACTCGTCACTCTGTGTTAAGTCAGGGGGTTCAACACAGTTACCTCATCCTGAGGCACCAGTTAAGTAAAGCAGAGGCCTCAGAAACACTGATGAACACTACAAGAAGAGAAGAGCAGCATAGAGCAGTGTGCAGTATTAGAGCAGTATTAGAGAGCAAGTGAATGAGTATTCCAAAAAAGAAGAGAAGCAGAAATGCAATTTGAAACTGGCTTGGCAACTGAAGCAATGAACCAGTGACACAAACAGGTGAGTACACTGACACACACACACACACACACACACACACACACACACACACACACACACACACACACACACACACACACACACACACACACACACACACACACACACACACACATACACATACACATACACACTGACCCCTCGCTTCATTAACCCCTTTGGGTAGTGGAGATTTCGAAAACAATTAATTTTTGGTGGTAATCAGCTTATGTTTCAATCCTGTTATGAGTTTGCACTCCTGTGGCGAGTATGGACCACTACGACCCCTCTCACCTGATGGTCGGACCACCACTACCACCTCTCTCGCTCTTAGATTTATTCCATACACACAACCAGAAACCTATTCCACAGGCAGGCGATGAGTCACAATAACGTGGCTGAAGTATGTTGACCAGACCACACACACTAGAAGTTGAAGGGACGACGACGTTTCAGGCCGTCCTGGACCATTCTCAAGTCGATTGTGAAATGGTCCAGGACGGACCGAAACGTCGTCGTCCCTTCAACTTCTAGTGTGTGGTCTGGTCAACCTATTCCATAGGTTTCTGGCTCAAATTTAGAAACACAAAAGTCAATTTTCTTTTAGTCCATCACTTCATATTGGTACTTTTGTCCAAACAGTGATTATAAGTACTTTCATTTTAGTAGGATGGGCTGAAATAATTGGATTTATAAATTATTGAACAATTTATAGTCCAAAATGTTGTAATTTATAAAATGAACAAATTTATTAATATGAACAAATAATAAATTTGTTCTTGTTTTTCATATGATATACAGTTTCAAGGGGAAAGTGCTACAAAGTTACCTTAACAATCCTTTCGAATCTACTTTTTAATGGCCGAGTTCCTTCAATCAACCAATCTCTCTGATTTTGATTCTGGCCGATCTATGTCAAGGGGATCCTTAGAAGTGCTGAATGTCAAATCTCCACCAATCAATAGTTTATCCAAACCATCGATCGACAAAGCCCCTTCCAATATCCTAGACACGAATAGCCAATCCTCCTAGATATGGGTTAGCAACTCTCAACCAATTCTAGACACGGATTGGATATGCTCAGCAAAACCTCTTAGACACGTACAGGCAAGGCTCAGCCAATCAACGTACGGTGTGTGAGGCCATTGAGAGGGGGAGGATTGGGATTGAGAGGGGCGTTGAGTATTAAGAATGCACTCTCTTCCCACATCCGTGCTGACCTCTCAGCTGTCTGCCAGAGGAGACAGCTGGCCCCGTGGGTGTCGCATGAAATCTGAAAGGTGGACTTCAGATATGGCCTTGTGGCTGTTTCAGATGAAGGTGGAGAGAGAGAGAGAGAGAGAGAGAGAGAGAGAGAGAGAGAGAGAGAGAGAGAGAGAGAGAGAGAGAGAGAGAGAGAGAGAGAGAGAGAGAGAGAGAGAGAGAGAGAGAGAGAGAGACAGAGACAGAAGAGCAGAGAAACACAGAGATAAAGAGAGATAGCTAGAGCTAAGAATATGAAAGGTGGAGAGAAGATTTCAACTCTCTGGGGATATCTTAAGATCAAAGATGACAGGTTCAAGTGGAAGATATATCTTTTCTGTGTGTATTTTGTATCAATTTTTCTCTTTCTTTGCAGTTTGTTTGTACACCTTTTCATCTCCTTTGTCTCCTCATTCATCCTCAATTTTGTTTATTTGTATTTCTTTGACTATTTAGAACCAGATTCATTCACACATTTTCCTCTCATGTTTTTCCTCTTCTTACATTCCTCATCTTTCTCTTCTTCCCTGTATCTCCTTCTCCTCTTCTCCTCCTTCTGTTTTTCTTTACTCTTTTAAAGTAAATTTAATAATGGAATGTGAAACCTTAAAATACGCTGGCAAATTATAGTTTTCCTAACTGAAAATAACGTTTGGCTCACATTGCTACAAACACTAAGTAGATGAACGGAAGTGGAACGGAAGTGGATGAATGGAAGTGGATGAAAGAACGGAAGTGGATGAATGGAAGTGGATGAAAAAACGGAAGTGGAAGTGTATGAACGGCTTCAACAAGGGTGATGTTAACAGAGCCTTGAAAACAAACTGAATCATAACGCTAAAGCAGAATTATAGATTTTTTAAAGAAAGTGATAGTGATTGGGCAGTAAGGTAGTGAATTTATGGAATAGTTTGCTGGGTAATCAGGCTTCTTGAAGGGCCTATTCAAGTCGCATTTTTTCTTGCGACTTCTGTTCTTACACTTCACATTCTCTGTCTTTCCTAACTCTATTATTTGTCCTTTACATCTTCCCTCAGGCAACAATAATATTTTGGAAATATTGTCGTGTCCCACGACCCCCTTTTTCTTTGTAACATTGATCATTACTCAAAATTGATCACAATACTCGATCCACAGAGGTGCAAAGTGTATTGACTCAGCCTATCAAACTCCTGAAAATCTTTAGATGATGGGTTGGAACCAAGAATGCTGTGTGGGTTGTCAGTGTTGGTTATCAGTGTGGGTTATCAGTGTGGGTTATCAGTGTGATGTGGTCGGTGATGAGTATAGAACGTAGGGGAGTGTGATGAGTATGGAACGTGAGGAGTAACTAAAGTGATGAGTATAGTATCTACGGGGCTTTACATTCCCTCTCCCCTCTCAGACTCATCCATCATGCCTCATCCTCATACTCATCCCATGAATAAACCTCCCCCCCCCCACACACACAAACATCAATACAACAATCGCCTCATAATCGTAACCCTCCAAATAAATTACATAACAAACATACATGCAAATGTTTGTGACATAAAATTGTCAAAAGAAATAATTTATATTTCGGTATGAAAGAGGGAATTTGATTCAATAATTGTAATACACTAATATAGGTGTCAGCTGAGCCTACACACACACACATACACACACACACACACACACACACACACACACACACACACACACACACACACACACACACACACACACACAGAAAAACAACTCAATCATGCAACACAATAACATTCTAAATGAATACTTACAACTTTTACGTGTATTACTGAGTATTGTGTATTTACGTGTATTACTATAGTTTGTATATTACTCAGTAATATACAAATATTATTAAATATTATTATTACTTTAATATATTATTAAAGTAATGTCACTTTTGAAATTTTTAAAATTTAGATTGGGATAATGGAAATTTAAAGTAGAAAGTTCTCTATATATATATTTCTGGCACTTAGAAATCAGATTAATGTGATGTATGAGTGAATAAGTCAGTAGAAGTGATGAGGAAGATTCCTCCTCATTGCTTCTACTGATTCTCATCTTATTATTTTCTTCCCTAACTTACGGCAGGAAAGATAGCAAAATCCACTGCAACTCGGATGTCTTTCACTTCTGCCTAGTAAGTTTAATGTCTCACTATCGTCACGAATTATGTAGAGAGTTTCACTAAGGTAGTGAGATTTAAGTTGTGGGATCTTAGCTACCTACTTAAGATGCAGCAGTTGTTGGGTTTAGACATTGTTCAAATGGTAACGGTAGTTGAGTTAACAATCATTCTTGAAGATCCCATGAAGGGTCTTCTTGTCTAGACCTTTTCAATAATAGTTTAATTGGTTGATACTATACCTCTTCATTACTCGACACCTTTACGGTCAATTTGAAGGGTCAGTCGATTGAGAGAAAGAATGGTAATTAAACTTGCGACTTCCAATTCGTGGGTTCGAATCCCAATAATTTTGCTATTTTCGAATAACGATAATGCTTCAATAAATTCGTTATTTAAAACTGCGTTCATTTCTGTCTGTCCCACGGAATTATTTTTGCATTCATTACATAGATATCTGTATCATATATCATTAGATATCTGCATCATATATCATTAGATATCTGTATCATATATCATTAGATATCTGCATCATATATCATTAGATATCTGTTTCATATATCATGAGATATCTGTATCATATATCATGAGATATCTGTATCATATATCATTATATATCTGTATCATATATCATTAGATATCTGTATCATATATCATGAGATATCTGTATCATATATCATTAGATATCTGTATCATATATCATTAGATATCTGTATCATATATCATTAGATATCTGTATCATATATCATGAGATATCTGTATCATATATCATGAGATATCTGTATCATATATCATGAGATATCTGTATCATATATCATTATATATCTGTATCATATATCATTAGATATCTGTATCATATATCATTAGATATCTGCATCATATATCATTAGATATCTGTATCATATATCATTAGATATCTGTTTCATATATCATGAGATATCTGTATCATATATCATTAGATATCTGTATCATATATCATTAGATATCTGTATCATATATCATGAGATATCTGTATCATATATCATGAGATATCTGTATCATATATCATTAGATATCTGTATCATATATCATGAGATATCTGTATCATATATCATGAGATATCTGTATCATATATCATTAGATATCTGTATCATATATCATGAGATATCTGTATCATATATCATTAGATATCTGTATCATATATCATTAGATATCTGTATCATATATCATTAGATATCTGTATCATATATCATTAGATATCTGTATCATATATCATTAGATATCTGTATCATATATCATTAGATATCTGTATCATATATCATTAGATATCTGTATCATATATCATTAGATATCTGTGGCGTTCAGTGTGTAGACATCCTCTGAATTCCTCCGCCAAAGGCCTCCATTAGTGACACATGTGTGTGATTTCATCCCTGAGCTTATTAATGTGTCTCTGAAGATACATGCTGACACAAGCATCCGGGTTATCATTCACCATTGTGTGTGTAGTTGAGAGAGAGAGAGAGAGAGAGAGAGAGAGAGAGAGAGAGAGAGAGAGAGAGAGAGAGAGAGAGAGAGAGAGAGAGAGAGAGAGAGAGAGAGAGAGAGAGAGAGAGAGAGAGAGGGGTGGAAAAGGAGAGGCCTCCCACCCTGGAAGTCGAAGGTAAGGAATGGGGAAATTCTCCAAGAGTGTTGAAGGTAGGGAGGAGGAATGGGCTAGGGAAGGCAAAAGGGTTGGAAAGTGATGGTCCAGGGAGGTGGAAAATATGGAGGGAGTGGAATAGGGTACAGAGGAAGTGGAAGAGGAGAAGGAGGAGGGAGAATGACAGACAAAAGGAGGGAGAGAGAGAGTCAAAGGAATAACTAAGACGGACAACTAATTAATCTACATGTCTGTGTGGCATCTCTGTTGCCCCCCCCCCCCCTTCCAACAAGCTGCAGTTCTTTGATTTGTATTCCTAATTACACAGGATTTGGATTCTTAATTTCAGGTATGACAGTTTAGGATTATTCTTGATACCTTCAAAAACGTCATTTAAGGATTTTCCTGGTTAGAAAGTTCAAGTTGTATAATGTATAAGAGACCCATACATCTTTCTAAGGCTACAACTAACAATTGTATCAGGATTAAGAGACTCGTATTCAGTTTCATAAGATTATTGGCACAATAACTCAGCCCACATACTGTAAGGAATTTTTGTAGAGGACTGAGTGAACAATCAGACTCAGGAAAGTAGAATTTAATTATGAAGATAAATGCACAACTTTTCCCTCACACAATATTGATGAAACTTGAATGAAAGTTGTCAAGTGAGACATAGTTTACTGTGAGTGACAGTTGCCATGTGAGATGTGGTATACTGTGAATGACAGTTGCCATGTGAGATGTGGTTTACTGTGAGTGACAGTTGCCATGTGAGATGTGGTTTACTGTGAGTGACAGTTGCCACGTGAGATGTGGTTTACTGTGAGTGACAGTTGCCACGTGAGATGTGGTTTACTGTGAATGACAGTTGCCACGTGAGATGTGGTTTACTGTGAATGACAGTTGCCATGTGAGATGTGGTTTACTGTGAATGACAGTTGCCATGTGAGATGTGGTTTACTGTGAATGACAGTTGCCATGTGAGATGTGGTTTACTGTGAATGACAGTTGCCATGTGAGATGTGGTTTACTGTGAATGACAGTTGCCACGTGAGATGTGATTTACTGTGAGTGAAAGTTGTCTAGCAAGATGTGGTTTACTGTGAATGACAGACAAGCAGGAATACAGAGATATGAAAAGAGGTAACGAGCAACAATTGCTTGTTACAGGCATCAAGCAATTGATGCCTAGCAAATTGCGTCGATAACAGCTATCAAAAAAACTGTCAAACGTCACAGTCGACACCAACTACTACTCTTGACCCTCCACTAACTACCGCTATAATCACTACCCGTAACTACTCCCCTCCCCCCCCGTCCCCCCCGTCCCCCCCCCTGCTATGGCTGCTATGAGATAGTTGGTGCTTATAATAACAATAACAGTATCACTTTGACCCCCCTAACAAACTTGCCAATTTGCCCGGGTACTTAAAAACTGCGAAATTATTTGATGTCAATTAGCGAAGCAGCTGTGTCAGCCTGGATACATGCTGTGTCAGCCTGGATACATGCTGTGTCAGCCTGGATACATGCTGTGTCAGCCTGGATACATGCTGTGTCAGCCTGGATACATGCTGTGTCAGCCTGGATTCATGCTGTGTCAGCTTGGATACATGCTGTGTCAGCCTGGATACATGCTGTGTCAGCCTGGATACATGCTGTGTCAGCCTGGATTCATGCTGTGTCAGCATGGCTACTGAGCCACAGTGATCTACACAGTCCGTTCATAACCGAAAGGTCCCGGGTTCCATGCCCACGGCAGGACGCAGACATTCGGGAGGTTTCCTTTCATCTGATGCATCAATTCACGTAGCCTAAATCGAGACTTGGG